AGGGGACAAAAGAGAGTGCAAAAATTATAGGGGGATAAGTCTGTTGAGTATACCTGGTAAAGTGTATGGTAGAGTTATTATTGAAAGAATTAAGAGTAAGACGGAGAATAGGATAGCAAATGAACAAGGAGGCTTTAGGAAAGGTAGGGGGTGTGTGGACCAGGTGTTTACAGTGAAACATATAAGTGAACAGTATTTAGATAAGGCTAAAGAGGTTTTTGTGGCATTTATGGATTTGGAAAAGGCATATGACAGGGTGGATAGGGGGGCAATGTGGCAGATGTTGCAGGTGTATGGTGTAGGAGGTAGGTTACTGAAAGCAGTGAAGAGTTTTTACGAGGATAGTGAGGCTCAAGTTAGAGTATGTAGGAAAGAGGGAAATTATTTCCCAGTAAAAGTAGGCCTTAGACAAGGATGTGTGATGTCACCGTGGTTGTTTAATATATTTATAGATGGGGTTGTAAGAGAAGTAAATGTGAGGGTCTTGGCAAGAGGCGTGGAGTTAAAAGATAAAGAATCACACATAAAGTGGGAGTTGTCACAGTTGCTCTTTGCTGATGACACTGTGCTCTTGGGAGATTCTGAAGAGAAGTTGCAGAGATTGCTGGATGAATTTGGTAGGGTGTGTAAAAGAAGAAAATTAAAAGTGAATACAGGAAAGAGTAAGGTTATGAGGATAAAAAGATTAGGTGATGAAAGATTGGATATCAGATTGGAGGGAGAGAGTATGGAGGAGGTGAATGTAATCAGATATTTGGGAGTGGACGTGTCAGCGGATGGGTCTATGAAAGATGAGGTGAATCATAGAATTGATGAGGGGAAAAGGGTGAGTGGTGCACTTAGGAGTCTGTGGAGACAAAGAACTTTGTCCTTGGAGGCAAAGAGGGGAATGTATGAGAGTATAGTTTTACTAACGCTCTTATATGGGTGTGAAGCATGGGTGATGAATGTTGCAGCGAGGAGAAGGCTGGAGGCAGTGGAGATGTCATGTCTGAGGGCAATGTGTGGTGTAAATATAATGCAGAGAATTCATAGTTTGGAAGTTAGGAGGAGGTGCGGGATTACCAAAACTGTTGTCCAGAGGGCTGAGGAAGGGTTGTTGAGGTGGTTCGGACATGTAGAGAGAATGGAGCAAAACAGAGTGACTTCAAGAGTGTATCAGTCTGTAGTGGAAGGAAGGCGGGGTAGGGGTCGGCCTAGGATAGGCTGGAGGGAGGGGGTAAAGGAGGTTTTGTGTGCGAGGGGCCTGGACTTCCAGCAGGCATGCGTGAGAGTGTTTGATAGGAGTGAATGGAGACAAATGGTTTTTAATACTTGACGTGCTGTTGGAGTGTGAGCAAAGTAACATTTATGAAGGAGTTCAGGGAAACCGGCAGGCCGGACTTGAGTCCTGGAGATGGGAAGTACAGTGCCTGCACTCTGAAGGAGGGGTGTTAATGTTGCAGTTTAAAAACTGTAGTGTAAAGCACCCTTCTGGCAAGACAGTGATGGAGTGAATGATGGTGAAAGTTTTTCTTTTTCGGGCCACCCTGCCTTGGTGGGAATCGGCCAGTGTGATAATAAAAAAAAAATATATAAAGTGAAGAGATAGTAAAAATGGTCTTAAATAAAAATTTAAAAAGTAAGATTTGACTTTAATCACAAAATTTAGGCAAGTAATAACACTATAAACAAATTGTATGAGTAGTAATAAAAATATAATGAACTATTAAGACTTGGTATATCAGTAGCACCTAACAGTTTTTGCACTAATGCTAGACAGTAAAAAAAAGGGGGGGGGGGGTTCAAAACAGTAGTACTTAACTTTGGATTGTATTGCACTAACTATTATAGACTGCATACACTAGAGAAAAAAAAAGAAATATAATAGTTAACTAATTGAGGACTGCAAAGATAGTTACAATTTTTTTTTTTTTAACAAACTGGCCGTATCCCACCAAGGCAGGGTGGCCCAAAAAGAAAAACGAAAGTTTCTCTTTTTAAATTTAGTAATTTATACAAGGGAAGGGGTTACTAACCCCTTGCCCCCGGCATTTTAGTCGCCTCTTACAACACGCATGGCTTACGGAGGAAGAATTCTGTTCCACTTCCCCATGGAGATAAGAGGGAATAAACAAGAGCAAGAACTAGAAAGAAAATAGCAGAAAACCCAGAGGGGTGTATATATATATGCTTGTACATGTATGTGTATTGTGACCTAAGTGTAAGTAGAAGTAGCAAGACGTACCTGAAATCTTGCATGTTTGAGACAGAAAAAATGACACCAGTAATCCTACCATCACAGTTACAAATATATATAAAATATAGAAATGTATATCTCTTTAGGCAAACAAGAAGGTGATCTTGAGGTGTTTAACAAAAATATAAAGTATGAGGTAGCGATTGGATGGCTTAGAATCACTGCTGTCAGATTGACAATATAGAATTGAGAATTAGGTTTTGTGATGCTACAGTGAGTAAGAATTAAGATGGTATTCATGATACTACTGTGAGTAAGAATTAAGATGGTATTCATGATACTACTGTGAGTAAGAATTAAGATGATACACTATTGGAAAAGATTTATACATTTGGACCCTTCCCCTCAAGGAAGGTTTCTCAATGCTGGTGAGGGGCTCTTGATTCAAGGAATTGGATCTACTTTTCCCTTGGATCAAACCTGATTACCTCCCAATCCCCAGACTGTATGACCCCTGTGGGTTTAGTGTTCCCCCATGAATGGAATAATCTTCTTTCAACAAACTGGCCATATCCTACTGAGGCTGGCTTCCCCCCCCCCTTTCCCCCCCAAAAGAAAAAGTTTCTCTTCTTTTAAATTTAATAATATATGGCATTTTAGTTGCCTCTGACAACACACATGGCTTACATAGGAAGAATTCTGTTCTACTTCCCCATGGAGATAAAAGAGGAAATAAACAAGAACTGATAATAAAATAGGAGAAACCCCAGAAGGATGTGTATATACATGCTTGTACATGTATGTGTAGTGTGACCTAAGAGTAATTAGAAGTAGCAAGACATACCTGAAACCTTGAATGTTTCTTCTTCTTCCAACACACCAGCCGTATCCCACCGAAGCAGGGTGGCTCAAGAAGAAAAACGAAAGTTTCTCTTTACAAATTTAGTTAATGTATACAGGAGAAGGGGTTACGAGCCCATTGCTCCCTGCATTTTAGTCACCTCTTGCAACACGCATGGCTTAAGAAGGAAGAATTCTGTTCCCCTTCTCCATGGAGATAGGAAATAAACCAGAACAAGAACTAGTTAAAAAATAGAAGAAAACCAAGAGGGGTGTGTATATATATGCTTGTACATGCATGTGTAATGTGACCTAAATATAAGCAGAAGTAGCAAGATGTACTTGAAACCTTGCATGTTTATGAGACAGAAAAAAGACCAGCAATCCTACCATCATGTAAAATAATTACAGGCTTGTTTCACACTCACTTGGCAGGACGTTAGTACCTCCCTTGGTGGTTGCTGTCTACCATCCTACTGCCTCCATGAATGTAATAATAACATTATTAATGTACATTTGGATCCAAGACTAGCTTTAAAAGAGGAAGGAGAGACATGTTAGTAAAATAAGAAGTATCAGAATGGCTTGGCACATCAAGTATCACTCTTTGGTTCCAGCTTGGGTATAATCTTCATAAACAATTTATGAAATTATTCATGGATACTTTACGAATAAATTCCAAGTTTGTTACTGGAAAAATATAGCAAGAAAAGAGAGCAATTGTTAAAAAATATTGAGAGGGATCTTAAGACTCTAAGTCACAGAAAATTAATTAAGCCTGTCAGTTGATATTGCAGCCTTAGCGAGATTAAAAGTATTGTGCAAGCAGGAGATATAAAAAATAACGTATGGGGTAAGAAACTTAAATTTCTTGTCTTATGTGGTATACAGTTGACCCCTGCCTTACGATCAACTCCCAACTCGAACAATTATGTAAGTGTATTTTTGTAAGTGCTTTTGTACGTGTATTTTTGGGGGTCTGAAACGGACTAATCTAATTTACAATATTCCTTATGGGAACAAATTCGTTCGGTAATGGCACTTGAACAGACTTCTGGAATGAATTAATATCATAAGTCCACTGTATATGTTTCTCCACACTTAAGAAATAAAGTGGCACCTTTTTTCATGTCCTAAGATAATACTATATTATGGAGGAAGTGAATATATTTAGATCTTTGGGAGTGGGTCAAGCAGTTAGCTTGAGTATTGAAAAGTCTGGAAAAACAAATGTTACATTGGAAAAAAGGTATTAGTATAGTGATGGCAGAATTTCTGTATAGGTGTCACATTATATTTAAATGTTGCAACAAAGAGACTAGAAGTGACAGAGATGTGTTTGAGATCAGTTTGTGGTGTGAATATTGTGTAAAGAATAAGAAGTGAAGAAATTTGAAGGTGGTGGTATGAAAGGTATAATTCAGTGTGGAGGAAGGGTAGTTGAGATGGTTTGGTCATTTAGAAAGTACAGAGCAAGGTCATTGACCAAGACAGTATATACTGTATAAATCTGTGGTGGATGGAAGGTAGTGTAGGGTATAACTTAGGAAGGGTTGGAAGGATGTGATGAAGGAGGTTTAGAGGTAGGTGCATGAACATGGAACGGGCATGTTAGATCAGAGTAATGAGATGATACATTGTGGGATTTGATATGGTGGTGGAGTGTGAGCAAGGCAACATCTCTGAAGGGATCCAGGTAAGTCATTTAACCAGACTTGAGTTTTGGAGATTGGAAGTAGCACCTGTTGGGATGTTATGTTTTTGATATTTTTAATGTCAGCCATTCGTGAAAGGTAACTAGGGAATGAATGAGCGTTTGTAAATGTGCCTTTTTTTTGGAGGATGAGGGAAGGGTTACTCAGTCTTGATTAGAAATGGTTGATCTTTTAAAAAAAAAATCTCAAAATTACTTTATTTTCTATTATTTTAGGATGCTATAGACTAGTTAAATTATTAATGTAAGGAAAATGTCTTGCTTCAGATTCGCATAGATGAGTACGACTACAGCAAGCCACTAGAAGGCCAAGAACGCAAACCACTTGAAAATCATTGGAGGAAGCACACACTGTCCACTGTTAATATGGAAACTGGCACTGTAAGTGATGCATTTAAATTTTATGTGTTTAAAGAATTGCATATCTATCTGTCAGACAGGGATAAACTTTTGGTGAATGAAATGCAGTAGTTTGAGGCTTGGAACTAGTATTCCCTTCAGTATTTTCTAGGTATACAGTAGTGTCCTTTGCTCAATGCAAGAGATGCATTCCAGGGCCTTGACAGCCATAGTAATCTTGGATGACCTACACTCTATTTCTCATTTTATGAATCTTAATTGTTTGGCAAACTGCACTGGTTGCATAATAAAAGTGAATTTTCATTGCTCATAAAGTTGCTTTTATAAATGGGGTATCACATAAAAGTTAATTTGATTATAGCAAAACTACAAAAGGATACATAGATTACCATACTGAATTATGCTCTTTTACACATATAATGATTTACTAAAGAACTAGTTATGATTTTATGACTGCCAGTCCACAATTAAGAAAGTGTGTAAAATATAATTGCCCTTTGTGTTATTGTTTTCAGTGGGAAAACTGTTTTATGTTACAAACAGTTCATTCATAAGTTGAAACACCAGAAACATAACTCTCTCTCCTCACTTAACGACGGAGTTCCTTTCCTAAGATCAGATTCATAAACAAATTTGTTGCTAAGCGGGGAACATACTATAATGGTAGTGGGTTTGTGTCACCCATCTTTGATATTGTTTTAATGTCACCTTTGCACCATTTGTAACATTTCTGGTATACTTTTATATGTTGATACAGTAGTGCACTGTTTATTGTGAGAAACAGAATAGAGGAAATCAGCTCTAATATACATTATTTAGGTATGTATACTGGTCAGAGAGGCCGTTGGAAGTCTGAGTCATCGGTAAACGAGTAAGTCACTAAGTGAGGAGAGGCTGTAGTTCATAAGCTGGGTTCTTGCCAGCATTCTAGGAGTATAATTTGAGTGCCTCGTGTCACTCAGTAATATGGGTATTTGAGACAATGTGGACAGTAAGTATTGTCTGGGTGTTTCCCCGGTCAGTTTTCCTAGTTTTGTTCATATTAGGGAATACACACAATGCAGAGCAAGCCTTTATTTTAGACGACCTTTTACTCAGATCTGGACTATCTTGAGACTACTTAAAAACACACAATACTCTTTGTTGTCTCTTTGTACCCAGTTGTTGGCTTGTTGCTTCAGTCACCACTCAGGGATATTAGTAAACTTGTATAATATGGCAATACAGATTCCTGAAAACCAGTGTTGCAGAAAAATATTTTTGCTATAAAATCTGATGT